ACAAACAATCATACATACTCATGAATACAATTGTTTGTGCCGTGCGAGGAACCGAACCCGCCATCATCGGTCGTAAGGCGGTGTACTAGACCACTAGATCACCAAGGTCGTCAAAATGTATCTTTTACTTTACAATCTCTACGTTATGTCACCAAGGCTCTCAATCTTTGACAGAAATCAACATTTATCTTTTACTTTACAATCTCTACGCTTTCAATCTTTGACAGAAACCAAGATATATCATTTACTTTACAATCTCTACGTTATGTCACCAAGGCTCCCAATGTTTGACAGAAATCAACATTTGTCTTTTACTTTACAATCTCTATGCTCTCAATCTTTGACAGAAACCAAGATTTATCTTTTACTTTACAATCTCTACGCTCTCAATCTTTGACAGAAACCAAGATTTATCTTTTACTTTACAATCTCTATGCTCTCAATCTTTGACAGAAACCAAGATTTATCTTTTACTTTACAATCTCTACGCTCTCAAACTTTGACAGAAACCAAGATTTATCTTTTACTTTACAATCTCTATGCTCTCAATCTTTGACAGAAACCAAGATTTATCTTTTACTTTACAATCTCTATGCTCTCAATCTTTGACAGAAACCAAGATTTATCTTTTACTTTACAATCTCTATGCTCTCAATCTTTGACAGAAACCAAGATTTATATTTTACTTTACAATCTCTACGCTCTCAATCTTTGACAGAAATCAAGATTTATCTTTTACTTTACAATCTCTACGTTATGTCACCAAGGCTCCCAATCTTTGACAGAAACCAAGATTTATCTTTTACTTTACAATCTCTACGTTATGTCACCAAGGCTCGCAATCTTTGATAGAAATCAAGATTTATCTGTTACTTTACAATCTCTACGCTTTCAATCTTTGACAGAAACCAAGATTTATCTTTTACTTTACAATCTCTACGTTATGTCACCAAGGCTCGCAATCTTTGATAGAAATCAAGATTTATCTGTTACTTTACAATCTCTACGCTCTCAATCGTTGACAGAAACCAAGATTTATCTTTTACTTTACAATCTCTACGTTATACCACCAAGGCTCTCAATCTTTGACAGAAACCAAGATTTATCTTTTACTTTACAATCTCTACGTTATGTCACCAAGGCTCTCAATCTTTGACAGAAACCAAGATTTATCTTTTACATTACAATCTCTACGCTCTCAATCTTTGACAGAAACCAAGATTTATCTTTTACTTTACAATCTCTACGTTATATCACCAAGGCTCTCAATCTTTGACAGAAACCAAGATTTATCTTTTACTTTACAATCTCTACGCTCTCAATCTTTGACAGAAACCAAGATTTATCTTTTACTTTACAATCTCTATGCTCTCAATCTTTGACAGAAAACAAAATGTTTTTTAGTTTTTTAAGCTTCTTCTTAGAAAACACGTGTAAACACATGGTAACTTCACTGAAAATGGTGCTATCTAGTAACTAATTTGCTATCAATAAGTGTAAATGATTCTAATTTTCACAAATATTATTCTAATTCAATAAAAATAAAATAACTTCGTTAGCTAGTATCCAAATAAATAACTGACCATCGCAACAAACATAAATAATTAAATTCCACAAGAGTAGGAAGTCAAGAAATTAGTTACAAGTCGATTAACGATCCACCAGGGAAACTACCACCCCTACCAAAGTTACGTTTCTCGAAAACCCATCGTTTAACTCACCTGCCATCTCTCTCTAACATATACTGTTAGAGAGAGGACGATATATTCCAGATAACACTAAAGAATATAGTTTTAGTAGAGGTGTCGCAACGGTACCGAGACATTATCACAGCAATCAAATACTCGTTAACACCAGCACTGATATACTCTCCACCCATGAACGGGTAACTAAAATTGAACTTTAACACTTTGAACTTTAAATGTAACATCCAACAGCACCTGATGTTGGTTAATTTATGGATCGTAAAAATAAGTGAACTTAAACTATACGCTTTCTTTATTTTGCAGGATATTTAAAGCTTTGTTACAAGGGTGGATGCGCAGGGGTTCGTTTAATAGTTATTGTGTTAATTACAAATTAATTTATAAGCGCTTACCCTGCTGTAGATGGCTAGGGTGGCTTTAATACAAGCTGTTTTGTTGTTTGCAGTATATTTGGTATATTTAGAACCTGGAAACATTTAGAGGAGAGGTGTTGAGAATTTTTGGAATGTTTTATATGGATTATGTATTCGTAAAGTCGTGTATATAAAGGTTATTTTTATAGAAAATATTAAAATTTACTACCCCTATGTAATGTAGTTATAAATGACAACTATGTAAATAATTTCCAGTAGTATGTTTCAAAACATAGTATAAAATAAAGTGGCTGTCGCTGACCAGTCCCCACAAGCAGCACCCGTTCACGAGTATGACGGATGAGCCAGCCATCATTGCACTCAACAATATTTGAGGGAGCACATCGACTCGACCCACCACGCTGTTCATCTCTATGTATGCTTAAATCTTTAAAACAAGAGATAAATTTATGCATACATAGGGACGGACAGCGTGGTGGACCGAGTCGATGTGCTCCCTCAAATATTGTTGAGTGCAATGATGGCTGGCTCATCCGTCATACTCGTGAACGGGTGCTGCTTGTGGGGACTGGTCTGTTCAAGTTGCGAACATAACTCTATTCTCCCAAATTTGAACGACTGTGTATTATTGTAAACATGTAAACATTTATTTGAAAAGAATACGAGTTGAGTTTCTTGTCATCTCGAAATCATTCCGAACTAACGGTAGATTTGGTACATCATAAGAGTCTGTTATATACCTAGATGAATAAAGATTTTTTGATTATGATTTCTTTTTTATTTTGTAAGTCGGGTTAGTAAAGCACAGGACCACGAGGCTGTCAAAAATACCTACAAGAAACATAGTTACGACTGCAATCCGAAATTGAAGTGGCAAGGCAGGGCATATAGCTCGTAGGACAGATAGCCGTTGGAGCAGTAAAGTCCTCGAGTAGCGACCGCGGACCGGAAGACGCAGCGTGAGAAGGTCTCCAGCAAGGTGGAACGACGATCTGGTCAAGATCGCTGAAAGGCATAGGATACGAGCAGTGCAGAACCGATCGTCGTAGAGATCTTTGAGCCTTTTTATTTACCTCCGAGTGACTCTGAGCTTATTCATGAGGCCCATAGTTAGCGACCACGTTTCTGTGCCGAGATAAACTCACGCACCAGGAAACAATGTACACAATGTGCATATTTTCGGCATGTATCAAAGAGGACGATGAACGGCCGTCCAATATCGAGCCAAACAAAGGCTTACAAGAGTTTAGGTCACGCCCACCGCACTGCATATTCAACGTGGGACTATAGTCAACACTAGATAGTATAGGAGCTCATGACACATATGATGAGCTTGTAAATATCACCTAATGATTATAACTAGTGGTCACCAAATGATTAATTTAAAGCCTCGGTAGTCTAGCTGTTTAGCCTTACAACCGATGGTAGCAGCTTCGATTGTTGGTACGACACTAACATTTGTAATCATGAGTATGATTGTGTCGATCTGGGTGTTTTCTATGTATAATATGTATGTAACATATTATACATAGAAAACACCCAGATTGAAATTAAAAATATCTATGTATTTATATCAGTTATCTAGTATACGAGCTTTAGCTAGTTTAACTTGGGTCTAGATGGCGCTGTGAGAATTGTTAATTATGTATAAAATGTATAAAATTCTCGTGTCACAATGTTAGTTACCATACTTCTCCGAAACGGCTTGATCGATTTTTATGAAATTTTATATGCATATTCAGTAATAATAATTAATATCAGTAACTGATAAGGGTTGTCCACCCCTAACATTTTTTTACTTTTTGTATTGTATTTTTTATTTGTATTTTTTTACATTAAAATAAATATATACAACCCTAAATTCCCTTCCACTAAGCCCTATATTTTTATACCGATTTTAATTTAAATGGCAAAGTAACGTTTGTGAGTAAAGCAAACAATATATAAATCAAGGCAAAGTACATTAAAGGAAACTTTTAATAAAAACGTTACCAGCTCTTGGACTATATAGACTTACCGATGCGTGTTGACCAATATGTGAGCTACACTTCACCTCCGAATACGACTACTGAACCCAGAATTTGCATTCCACACTGTGGCTTACTTTTTAACCGACTTCACAAACCGAGGAGTCCGTATTTTTCTGACCGAGTCTGCACTTATTTGTTTCATCAACTAGTAGTCGTTAGACTGTGTGCCGGGCATTCATATAAGAGATGTATATTTCTACTGGATATGCACTAATAATTTCAAAGATTCTTTACATCCATCTGAAAACTAAATCAATCCACGTGATTATGATTACGTAATTGATTTAGTTTTTGGATTATTATACAAATAATTTAGTTTTATTCTAATAGAATAAAAAAATAAAATAAACCAATAACAATAAATAATAATAACACTTTTAATGTATAAAATATATACAAATGAATATAATTTAATAAAGAAGAATAAATGAGTTACTATATTATTAATAAATTTTATTTTAATAGCTGTTCTGTTCTAGGTTAGGCTGTGTGTTAAGAAAGTTTATTTTATATATAAATTGTAAGCAATATAGCTTACAATTTATATATAAAATAAATTACAAATCAATAATATATAATCAATTAAAAAGAAAATAAAAAACAACCTTTATATTCAATAAGTAATAAATTCAGAAAAATAAGACATTACAAATTTATGTATGAATGTATGTATATTGTACATGAACATACACACACTCATACATTTTTATTATATTTTATAATAAACACTATATAATATATAAATTTGTACTCTAGTATTTGTGCACTTTATATGTTTTATATATAAAATATATTATAGTATCTACACATAACGTTTAATACGAATTTGACCTCTAATGTGTTTGTGTATGTTGTATGTTTTATGTATAAAATGTATTTATACATAAAAATCAGACGAACACTTGAACTTGGTAATCCAGTCCTTCACCTCGTTCACTCTTCAATCGTATATTGGCGAACGTGGTGCCCACACCACCAGCAGTGATTGTGGCTGATGCATTGCCTCTGAGTAAATCTACTGCTGATATACCCTGAAAAAAAAAAATACATATACTATGTACTACATATATATATATACTCTATGTAACAGGAATGGCAATTAAGGCTTGTTGCAAAATTACTAGTGAAATCCTATAGTAACACTAGCTAACACGGAAAACGTTGCTTTGGCATATATACTAGTATTAATATTTCTATTTCTATTAGATAATAATAGAAATATAGATATTTTCCATTCAACGCTAGTCCAGTTCCGGAGATAATTAAATTTCCACCGTAAAGAGACAAATTATATTTAACATTGTACCAATTTTCTTTTCTTTAATATAAATAAAATTCTGTTAACATGATAATTCATTGCATTACGTAGTTATATATCATTTTCTATTTAGTTTACTTTTTATTATATAACCTTATCTAGCGTATATTGAATGCGTCTATATAATTTAGCTCTTAGGCATACATAGTGTTGGATTACAATCCAGTTTTGTACCGAACTACACGCTCCTAGTTCTATTATTATATTGACTGTAATCTGTTTTGTATGCTAATAAATAAATAAATTAATTAATATTGCTATTAAAAATTAGGACTTCATGGTAGAAGGGTAAAGGCTAATCAGGTGGACGGTAACTGGAGCTAGTACCCAGTTGCTACACTTGCATGTATATACTCTTGTATATATATATATACTACTATATATAATGGTAAGCATCTGCCCAGTTAATAAAAATACACATATAAAACACCTAACCCGATACAAACAATCATATTCATGAATACAAATTTATGTACCGCGCGAGGAATCGAACCCACGACCATTGTATAGATTTAGGGGTTGTATTTATTTTATAACAACAAATTATAATTTTATAGCCAATATTTTTTATGTATAGACGTATATGCTATGTTACTGTAAAGTTTCATTAAAATCCGTTTTGTAGATTTTGCATGAAAGAGTAACAAACATCCATCCATACTCACAAATTTCCGTCTTCATAATATTAATAAAGTTTAAAATGAAAAATAAATAAGAATTGAGATGTATAGAAATAGTTTACATTCTATTCTCAGATCTACTGAATATACACACATAATTTCATAAGACGCGAACAACCCGTTTCGGAGGAATTATGTTACAAACACACGAGAATTTTATATAAAACATTGTTTCCAAATATTTAATTGGCTAGGGTAGAATGAGTAGCATCACTTTATTTTTTCACTACTTTTGATTTTTATACAATACTAACTGTCCATGCGACTTCGTCCGTATGGAAATTTGTTAGAAAGATGGAAAGCAAAGAAGTAAGTAAAATTTTAAATCAATGTCAAAATATAAAATAAAATGTCTATAACGTTTCCAGCCAATATTATCAACATACCCCCTTAATCTACAATGTATGTAACAGCAATATAAACAATAAACATGACATTGGAGATTAACAATAATAAAAGTTATACAATGCCTACATTAGTTATACAATTTTTAAATTTAACATTGCATAAAGGTTTGGTAAGCATGCCTGCCCACATTTTTTCTGTTGGAACAAACTGTACATCAATTATCTCTTCCACTATCTTTTCTCGGATAAAATGAAATCGCGTATCAATATGCTTGGTTCGATTATGATGGACTGGATTTTGCGCTAATTTTATAGCCGACTGACTGTCACAAAATATCGTAACGCGCTGTAACTTACCGGTCACTTCTGATATGAAGCTGCGAAGATAACAAGCTTCTTTAGCGGCTGCTGTTAAAGCCATATATTCTGCTTCAGCCGAGGACAAAGCCACTGTAGGTTGCTTTTTACTTTCCCATGCAACTGGTCCATCTGCCAGCTTCATATAAAAACCTGTATATGAACGGCGCGTTTCAACGCAATTCGCCCAATCAGCATCTGTGAACCCGTACAATGTTTTCTTTGTACATCGATATGTCAGTGAATAATCAATGGTACCTTTTAAATATTGTAGTACATGCTTTGCGGCTAACCAATGGGTTTTATTAAAATTAGAATTAAATTGACCCAAATAACTGGTTGCAAAAGCGATGTCCGGGCGTGTATGAGTGGCCAAAAAAATTAGGGATCCAATCAGTTCCTGATAAGGATAAGAGCAACATTCGTTTTGATCATTAGGCTCTAGTTTCTTATTTATTGGTGTGCGTACCGTTTTACAATCTTGCATACCAAATTTCGCTAAGAGCTTTTCCACAAAAGTCCTTTGATTCATTTTCAATATCCCTTCTTCATTTGATATATTAATACCTAAATAATACTTTAAATCGCCTAACTCCTTTAAACTGAAATACTTTTCCAAATCATTTTTCACATTGTCATATGTCATGTCATTTTTATAGAAAAGAATTATGTCATCAACGTAAATAGCTAATATTACTAATTCGTCACCAAAAAGTTTCGTATATACACATGGTTCCGAAGGAGTTTTTGTAAAATTCATTTTTGATAAAGTATTATCTAATTTTATATTCCATGCACGTGGGGCTTGTTTAAGTCCATATAGCGACTTATGTAATCTACATACCTTTTTCTCACTGTTTTCTGAAAAACCTTGGGGTTGTTCCATATATACCTCCTCCACAAGGTCTCCATTTAGAAATGCGGTATCTACGTCGATATGGCGCATCTTTAGGCCAAATTCAACAGATAATGCAAACAAAGTTCGCAAAGATGACATTCTAACTACAGGAGAAAAAGTTTCATAGTAGTCTAGTCCAGCTATTTGACTGTTGCCTTTCGCAACTAATCGTGCTTTGTATTTAACAATGTTCCCGTGCGCATCTCGTTTTTGTTTGAATACCCATTTACAAGGTATGATTTTCTTTCCTGATCTATCTACTAAACTCCACGTATTTAGTTTTTGGAGAGATCTGTACTCATCTGCCATAGCTTGTTTCCACTTATCAGCATCTACAGCATTTATTGCCTCCGTATAAGTAGAAGGTTCATCTGGTTCCATTATAGAATTACATACCTGATAAGTTAAGAACTCAGGTGATTTTCTCGTTCTCAAAGGATATCGACGCTCTGTTTCTACGATTTCTGGTGTTTCTCCATGCTGATTTGGATCTATAGGTGAGGGTATCACGGTCTCTTCGTGAGTTTGGGCATCCTCAAATATATCCTCTTCAACTGCCTGTTCTACTTCTGTATTAGTAGAAAATATAATAGGCATGTGTAAATTATTAGAAAAGTCAGCATTGGTATTACAGTTCTTAATACTATGAAAAACATTCTCAAAAAATAAAACATCTCGAGATTTTACTAACTTTCTCGGACATTGAGCGTTACGAAAAAGATAAGTATTAGGTTCAGTAGTATACCCAATAAAAATATGTTCTTCAGCTTTATTATCTAATTTCCTCCTATTACATGAAGGAATATGTACAAATGCCCTACAGCCAAACACACGAAGATGATTTAAGTTCGGTTTATGATCATACCATTTTTCATAAGGCGTCATGCAACTTAAGGCACGATGAGGACATCTATTCTTTAAGTATACAGCTGTCTCAAAAGCATCTTGCCAATATGCCTTTGATAAATAACTGTCAGCTAATAAAGAATGAGCCTTTTCTGCAATCGACCTATTTGTACGTTCAGCCACACCATTTGACTGTGGGCTATAAGGCGCTGTGGTTTGGTGAGTAATGCCCTGAGAGTTAAGGAACTGAATGAAGTCACTATTAACATATTCAGTGCCATTATCCGTCCTTAACTGTTTTATATGACCGTTTAATTGTTTTTCCACTAGAGCTTGAAAAACAATAAATTTATTTTTCACTTCTGTTTTATTTGAAATAAAATATACAAAAGTCATTCGTGTAAAGTCGTCAATGAAAAATAAAGCATATTTGTTACCTTGAAAAGAGACTTCAGGTAATGGGCCACATAAATCAGAATGAATAAGCTGTAGTGGCTCAGTCGCTCTTTTACATAGAATGCTTTTAAATGGTTTTCTGACCTGCTTGGCTTCAATACATGCTACACAAGGCTCCTTATCTGCTATACCAAAATGTATTATAGCTTGACCTTTTAATGATTGTAACCCAAAACGACAAAGATGACCTAACCTCCTATGCCATAAACGATATTGTGACAAGTCAGTTACTATATCGGCATGTGAAACATTGTAGCTCAACTTTGTAGTATTATTAATAGTACAGTCCAACGTATACAGTCCACCAGAATTCGTACCATGCAATATTGATTTACCTGCTATACAAACATCATTAGAATTATAAAAATTACAACCATTTTTATCAAAAATTACAGTATAACCTTTATCAACTATAGTTTGGACAGAAATTAAATTCGCCTTTAGTTCGGGAACATAAGCAACATCACTAATCCTATCAAAAAATTTACTTTTAGTATTAATGGGAACAGTACCTACGCCAGAGCAGTTAATATCTGTACCGTTTGCTATTGTAACTTTACCAGAACAAGGTTTAAGAGACGTCATCCAATCTAGTCTCGAAGACATATGTTTCGTTGCTCCTGAGTCAATTACCCACCTATTCATTTGTAAACCATCATTTGCTCCAAGAGCGTGAGCGCTCAATACGGAAGATTCTTGTGATGTCTTGCTTTTAAAGATTTTCTTATTTGGACAATCCGGGCGTTTATGTCCTGGCTCCTTGCAATCGTAACATATAATTTGCTTCTTCTGCTTCTTATATTTATCTGGACGGGTCCTTGTCTTTAATGCTGATTCAGGCTCCATATCGATAGATAGATAGATAGATAGATAGATAAAAATTTTATTTACGTTAAAGGCACACACACACACAAAAGGCACTGTAATAATAAGAACAAAAATAAAACAGATATACACATTACATTAGTGAAGTCAAACAAAATACAATACACAACAATTATACAGATAAAATAAAATGCAATACAGATAACAAAAAACGGTATGAGTAACGTAGTGTGTGTGCATAGCCCATACGTAAAAAGGCAGCACCTCAGTGTATTGTTTGCAGCATACAAGCAGCAAACCACTG